CTTTTTTTTTTAAAAGAGTGCCCTCCCTCAAACACACACACACACACACACAGAACTATGTAAGCTCCAGGCCCCACAAAACCTGGGTCTGCCCAAGACCAGAGCTATTGGACATCAGAGGATACAAGGTAGATACTTTTATTTCTGTTCTCACCAGTGCCTGGCACATGGTCTGCTTACGGAACGACGACCCTTCATGGTACCCGTGGACTTGGTGGTAATATCACAGAACACATCGCTGAAAATCTGCCATTTCTAGCGTGCGACCTTACACAGTGTTCTTAGCCCTCTGAGACGCAAATGATTTTCATTTCTCAAATATTCTTTCATGGGCATCATGGAGGTTAAATGAAGTAAAGAGCATAAAACTGTCCATTACCTGTCCTTCCTTGTTCCTTCACACTTCTGACTCACTTCTAGTTTTTTCCTGTCTGACACCACCTCTTTCTTGCATTTTCTTAGCCTGTCCCGTTGACTATTGCAGCTCACAAAGGTTTGTTGGGCCCTGATGGGGTTATTCCTTTGCTGTCATTCACAGACCGGACCTCTTTTCCTCTGTATATCTGAAGAAGAATTATTTTATTTTTTTTTAAGACTTTATTTATTTGTCAGAGAGAGAGAGCATAAGCAGGGAGAGTGGCAGGCAGAGGGAGAAGCAGGCTCCCCACTGAGCAAGAAGCCCGATGTGGGACTCGATCCCAGGACCCTGAGATCATGACCTGAGCCGAAGGCACCTGCTTAACTCACTGAGCCACCCAGGCGTCCCTGAAGAAGAATGGTTTTAGACCAAATACAACATGGGGCCGGCAATATCAGGTTTGGATTTGAAACAACCAGGCAAAATTCAAGGCAGTATGTACATTCCTGTGAAGCTGCTGCTAGACACATCCCTTGAAATTTCGGGATTTTATATCAAACTTAATCCAATTACCATGATATCATGCCACCATATTCCACTTGAGGAAGATTTCTATTCCTCACTGTCCCCACAAACATTTGCAAAACATCTCCTGTGGGGCAGGATTCAGCAGTGAACAAGGACTGATGTGGTCCCTGCCCTCATGGGGCTTACATTTTACAGTAGCAAAGGAAGGCATGCCGAAACCAAACATACTCTGGTATTTTCGTGTTCAAATGCTATGAAAAAAAAAATGCAGCTGATTAGGGCCAGTTGGGAGTCTCATCATCCAGGCAGAAGATGATGGTGGTCTAGTCTCGGATGCAGAGGGACTGGGTAGTTGATGGATTTGGGAATGATTTTGGTGAAAACTTCTGGATTTCTTTCTCTCCTAATCTCCATCCATTTTTCAGTGATGTGAATTTATTCTGACCCAATTTACATAAAGGTGACCCATTCTGTTTTTACCTTAGTCATTCCTTCCTGGCCCCCTGCAATAACACTCTTAGTCGTTCTACCTCTTGATGAACCACACATTCATGTATCACATAATTAATTCTCTTTTTGCCAGAGAGCTCAGGAGAACGACCCAGTCCCTGAAATCCAAGAGGGTCTCTTGATCTCTAGAGACTTGCTTAATGCACCCCACATGTTTATGGAATCAGAAATGGGAGGTGTTTTAGTTTGGTTGTGTTCTCATTGCAAAAATTCTTTATGCAGTATCTCAGCCATTGAATACTCTTCAATCTCTTCTAGAATGCTTACATTGATTGAGAACTCACTTTCCCGGTCCTGGAGAGCTTTTTTTTTTTTTTAATTTATTTATTTTAGAGAGA